ACGAAAAACCATTGGTATCACATGATCCCAAGTCTATCTATATATATATATATATATATATATAGAGAGAGAGAGAGAGAGAGAGAGAGAGAGGGGGGGGGGGGTTTCATTTGTAATCTGTAAACCATTTTTTTTAACATGACGACTAATCTCGGTCTTCCATCTTATTTTATCCGACAATCACATTAAGTAGAGTTTTTAAGTAAAATTATTAATTAAGATGATTAGGGGTAAAAGATGAAGTTAATTTAAACCAATGTCTACCTTCTTTGAATTTTTATTTTCTTTCTTAATTAAAAACTTTTATCCTCTTAAAGTTTAAAATAAATTATCTTAAAAATTACTAATATTTTAACTAAAAAATTACACCACAAAAACGAGAATTTCATGCTCTTTGATATGACATCTATCTCGATATAGTTTTTTTTTTCTTTTTAACCATTTTTTACGTTAAATGGTATATGTATTTATATTAATTATGAATATTTATGTACGTTCAAATGTGTACAACAGCTCGACACCGCCTTTTTCAACATCGTAAGACACCGCGTTTTTGTCATCGTAACCCAACACTCATTGAGACTGAGAGAGAACCCATCGAGATCGATCGAGAGACCATAGAGACCGATCGAGAAAGTTCGAGAATCCATTCATTGACTTGGTATGTGTTTATGTATGTTAAACCATAACCTACCACATTCATTTTCCATCGAGAACCTATCGATTGATTTATTATTTGTTTGTGTGTGTAAAACCATAAGCTACCACTTTCAACTTTTATGGAGACGGATAGGGAACCCATCGGGACCAATCAAGAACACTTCAAGATCAATCGACAACCCATTGGAACCGATATACACCTATCAAGACCAATCAAGACTAATCAAGAACCCATCCATTAACTTGGTTTGCGGTTGTATGTAAATATCAAAACATAACACCTTTATTTTTCATCTAGACCGATTGAGAACATATTGTTCAATTTATTGTGTGTTTGTTTGTATAAAACCATAACCTACCACTTTTAACTTTTATCGAGATGGATCAGGAAATCTATTGAGATGAATCGGGAACTCATCCAGATTAATTGAGAGCCCAATAAAGAAAAAGTAAAGTATGTAGAGTTAAAACTATAGTATATTAATGATGGAAAAAATGTATATGCATGATGAATATTATGGTGAAAATTAATATTTATGACAAGTAGCATACTAATATAAATATAGAGAGTTATTGTATACACATGAGCATCCATAAATATTCATGATGAATAATATGTATATTCATGATGAATAGTATGTATATTGATGATGAATATTACAGTGAAAATGTATATTCATGACAAATATCATACTGATATATGAATGTTGAAAAGTTGTTTCTACACACGTGAACATATATAAATATTCATGATGAATAGTATGTATCATATTGATGTATGAATAATTAAGAGTTGTTGTATTGTTGGTCCCAGCCGAATCTGCAAGAGTTTAGAGGTGATCAGTTTGTAGATGGGGGGGGGGGGGGATTGAATACAAACACAGTAACTTTCACTTTTAAAAATATATATTGATAAGAAATGATCAATACAGATTTTTACTGATTGTTTGCGGAATAGACAAGGTAAAGAAAGACCTATATAAAATAATCTAGAAATACACACAGATACACTTAGCAAATAAATAAGACTAGAAGTGTGTTCTTCTTGGGTATGCTTCTCAGAATTAGAGAGAGAAATTCTAATCTGCTTGTATCGTATGATGTTTGAATGGAGAGAGCACTCAGCTATTTATACCCATTGCATTAAATGCAATTCAGAAGAAGCAGAACATGCGTTAAGCTTTTAGAGGAAAGCTTGTTCTTTGTTATAGTGAATAGTACTTTTGTCTATTCATGAGCAAACATCCTTTCATAGAGTTGGTGAGCAATAGAGTCGACTAATCGGCTTTGTGATGTACTATACTCTAGAGAGGGTATGGGTTTGTCCTTTGTGTGCGGAAGGATAAGACAAAAACAATCGTGCATGACAAGCTTCATTTGATCGTTGAATGCTGGAATGACGCTGGAGGTCTCTTCAGCATTCATTGAGGCTTATGCAGTCTTCACGCATATGTTGACCAGGTTGTAATAATTGAATACCGCTTCAGATCATGAATGTACTAGTCACTAATCTTCAGTTTCAGTCTTCGACATTTGCTGAAGATTCTTGGGTGTGAGTTTTGTATTCTTGAAGTATAACAGTCGTTGTAGAGTTACAATACATGTTCAGCGATCACTGAACAGACTCAGTGATGATCGCTGAAACTGAATAGACAGAAACATAATACTTGGATAGGTAAAAGGGATTATCATCAAATCAATGAGAGAGAGGATCAACAATATCCCTCTATTTGATGATGACAAAGCAACATAAAAAATATTGCTTAGGATATAATAGTAAGAAAAAGTTACACGTAAAGTACATGTCCCTTTTAACTATTTTGGGATTTTTTTTTCAGTGAAACAGTTTTTCTTATATAAATTTTCTCAAGTTGTAATTTTAAGAGAAACAAGTATAAGAAGGGAAACTGAAACTGAAAACATGTTCACTGACTAAAGATTGTCAGTGAATGTAAGAGCAAACTGGAACTCATAAATACATGTCCCTGTTACTCTTTTCAGGGATCTTTCTGAGTGATAGTGGTGAACTACTTATATTAATCAAAAGGAAAGATATAATGTTACAACAGTACATTCTAGACTTATTAAATATAAGTTTGTTGATCATCTCTCTTAGTGATTTGATGATAATCCCTTTTTACTTATAAGTTGTATTTATGTTTTTGTCTTTTCAGTTCCAGCGATCATCACTGAGCCTGTTTAGTGATCGCTGAAGAACTTGTATTGTAATTCAATCAGAGACAACAATACTTCAATAAGAAAACACTCACACCAAAGAACCTTCAGCTAATGTCGAAGACTGAAACTCAAGATTAGAGACTGGCAAGTACGTGATCTGAAGCGGTACTCAGTGATTACAAGTCTGTCTACATATGTGTGAAGACTGCTCAAGCCTCAGCGAATGCTGAAGAGACCTCCAGGTTATTCCAACGTTCAGCGATCA